ATCCTTCCTCTTCCTGACCATATAATGAGGTTTTACTGTTACTGCCACTAAAAAGTATTCAGTTTATTTAAAGTGTCACAGGTACTTTAAAGGCATCAAAAAGGCAGTTAAGAAAAAAAAAAATAATAACGTCGTGGCTGTATTTCTAAGTACATCAAAGATAACCCAGTTAAAGTTCAAAAGTCACAGTAAGTTTTATATTTAAAAGTGCTCTCTTTACTTAATACCAATGTAAGATACCTGCAATTATGTGACACAAGTGAAAGAGGCTAATGCCAGATTCAGTCAGCTACTTACACAGTTTCCCTATCACAAGGGGTGGTTCCTTTTACTGAACTGGAAAGATCCTGGAATGTCAGAAGCAGGACAGTGGAAGAACTAACGACAGATTCAGTAGTAAATAACCAGTTTTCACATCCAAACCGAATCAGGACTTGATGAGATTCAAACTGTTCCCTGACTACGAACCATGTGAACAGTATTTTGGTCAAAGACAAAGAATCAAGAAAGAACGAGATTAATAGTAATCACTAAGTTCACCAGTGCCTTAACCAAGAAAACACCTAGGATTTTTCTTGCTAGAAAGATTACCGAGGATCTGAATTTGGGCTGGCTTCTAGAAAATTTCCTAGAAAGTTCAACAAATTAGGGGGAGAATGCCGAGATGCACTAGTAAGCATTAGTGATGCTTACTAACCAACCATCAAGTTAGCCTAGAACCTTGCTTGGCATAAGAGGAACTGATCCAGTCTTAGGAAAAAAAAAAAATATCTCCATAGAAAAGAAAAGAAGTCAATTCTTAGAGGAAGGTAGGGATGCTCTAAGAATTATCTGCACAGCTTTTTGGCACAAAATGAAAACAGACAGCATGAAGTAACATCAGAATTCTGGATCTTTCTCCCCTCCAGTTTCATTTTTGACTCTGTTACCTTGTACAACTGAGTCTCATTACCAGCTCCTGACCGTCATGGGCTAACTTTCTCCCAGGCTCAATAGCTTAGGGAAAGGTAGTAATTTCGTCACTAACTGTAGAGATCTTAGCATAATGTACTATGAGGCATATTAGAGTATATACACAAACAGGTTTATAGTGTTTTAAAAGCCATGGATATAGGCCACGAGTATTACGAAGTTTATGCATCTTCTAATCCATAGGCAAATTATTCCAATGGTGAATTACAGGTACAAAGACAAATCAATCTTATGAGCACTTTAAAAGAGTTGAATTCTCAAATACCCTTCTTAGGTCCTTGAAGTATACAAGGAAGTATTCAAAATGTAGGTACTATTTCCTTTTAATTACTATAAAGTCACAGAAAAAAAGGCAATTAAGGCCATGCTCAGACTGAATACGAAATCTAGTAAGATTTAACTGTCTTGTTATTTCTCTTTCTCCTTTTGTTTTCATTTTATAAATATATGCATGCACACAACTTTTAAACAAGAGCCCATTTGATTAGACCAGTTTTGATGTGACCTAATCAGCAATCCCAAAGCCATAAAATATTTTTGCTTACTACAAATGTGTGGACTCAAAATTAGGTAAATTGTTATTATTCCTCAAGAAAATTTTTAACTGGTCTCTTAGCAGAGAAAACAGAATGCTTTAGAGCAAATTTAGCCATTAGTAAACTAAGAAACCAGGTAAGATCAACATTTCCATACTGCAAAATATTACACCAAACTAATAAAGTTAAATGTCATATTTTTACAAGTTCTCTTACATTCTAACATTCATTAATTGACATTGTGCTAACAGCTTTGCAGGGGAAAGAAACCTTAAAAGACTTTAACAGATTTACTGACATGGACAAGAATATACCTTGTTATTTTTCAGATATATGATTACTTTATTATCACATTTTTTTTTTTTAAAGATTTTATTTATTTGTCAGAGAGAGTGAGCACAGGCAGACTAAGAGTGGCAGGCAGAGACAGGGAGAAGCAGACTCCCTGCGGAACAAGGAGCCCGATGTGGGACTCGATCCCAGGACGCCGGGATCATGACCTGAGCCGAAGGCAGCCGCTTAACCAACTGAGCCACCCAGGCGTCCCTATTATCACATTTTTTAATTGACTTTTAAAAACCTGTATACTGATATGAAAACCAAAATTTTGTGTAATTCAGATTTCTCATTTCCCTCCCTTTTCTCCTATAAGTTAAAGTGGTTATAATAGAACTAGCTTGTCACTGGGACACCTGGGTGGCTTAGTGGGTTAAGCCGCTGCGTTCGTTTGGCTTAAGTCATGATCCTGAGGTCCTGGGACTGAGCCCTGCATCCGGCTCCTTGCTCTGCAGGAGCCTGATTCTCTCTGCCTCTGCTTGCGACTCTGCCTGCTTGTGTGTGCATGTGCTCTCTCTCTCTGACAAACAAACAAATAAAGAAAGAAATTTTTTTTTTTAAAGATTTTATTTATTTATTTGACAGAGATCACAAGTAGTCAGAGAGGCAAGCAGAGAGAGAGAGAGAGGAGGAAGCAGGCTCCCTGCCAAGCAGGGAGCCCAATGTGGGACCCATCCCAGGACCCTGAGATCATGACCTGAGCTGAAGGCAGACGCTTAACGACTGAGCCACCCAGGCTTCCCAAATAAATAAATTCTTAAAAAAAAAAAAAAAAAAAAAAGAACTAGCTTGTCACTGCAATAAATATAAAAATGTTGATAACAAATTGAGATGAAAGCTTAATTCTAAAATAATGTTTCCTCATGAAGGTTTTATTCACATTTTAAAATATAAAATCTTGAGTGTAGTAGAATACAAAATGGAACAGTTGTAATTCAAATTGAGAACTGTCTTTTAAGGTAAATGTAACTATTATTTCAACAACATATAACTTCTACTTATATATTAAGGTAAATATTATCAGGGGGCAGGGCGCCTGGGTGGCTCAGCCTGTTTAAGCATCTGCCTTTGGCTTAGGTCACGATCTCAGGGTCCTGGGATCAACCCCTACATTGCCCCATGTTGGGCTCCCTGCTCAGCAGGGTGTCTGCCTCTCCCTCTGCCCCTCCCCCATCGTTCATGCTCTCTCTCTCATATAAACAGAATCTTAAAAAACTAAAAAATTAAATTAAAAGAAATACATTATCACAGGGCACCTGGGGGGCTTGGTTGGTAAGTGTCAGACTTGATTTTGGCTCAGGTCATGATCGCTGGGTCCTGAAATATAGCCCATGCTCAGTGAGAGGTCTGCTCGAGATTCTCTCTCCCTTTCCTTCTGCTCCTTCTGCCCTCCACCCCCCATGCTCTCAGAAAGTGTGCTATGTCTCTGAAATAAATCTTTTAAAGAAAAAATAGGTATTATCAGAAATGAAATATTTACAGAAGTGGTACCTGAGGAGTATTTGTATATTCTCTATATAATGACAAAAAAACCAGTTAAAAGGCATATTTTAAAAAGGCTAGAAAAGCAACTTATGGAAGTTTAGTTTCTGTGGAAATAGTCTATCACAGCACGATCACCACTAATGATTTAGTCAGAAGCACTGGTTAGGAAAAGCTGGCTGCCGGAGTAGCAAGGATAGCTAATTAGGATTCAGGAAAAGGGGTTTCTAATATTAGCCCTATCAACTAAAATAACTACTGACAATAGATCAATGGAATTAAGATCATATATGCTGGAAACAGATCACCAGGCTTCAAACCCCAGCATGTCAATTACTGCTGTGTGACTTCAAAGTGCTCTTCTTAGGTCTCAAAGGTTAGGATCCATCACCTTTAAAATGGATTACAGAAGCCATCTCAGAGCTATTCCGAGTTAAATAAGGTAATCCATGTAAGGTGTTTTATTATAGTGTCTGACCCTAACAACAGCATGGTATCACCACTACAGCAACCTTGAACAGTCCTATTTGGCCCTCAGTTTCCTTCCATGTAAAATACAGGTTTGAGCTGGATCATTTCTAATGCCTTTGCCCACCCCAAATTAAAATCTAAAATGTAAAAGAATATATAGGGCCAACTCTATTTTCAAAGAACATAAAATTAGATCTCTCACTGTAGTATTATTAAGGATATAGTAATTCAGATGCTATACAAGAATCATATTTCTAAGTGAGCCCTTTTAAATTAATTATAATTACTACAGTCATTAAAGCTGAAGTTGTATGTATTCTATTTACCCCCAAGAAATTCAAGATCTTCCATCGGTGATCACGTTCAGCAACTATAATTCTTCTAGAGAGTAAAATGGCAAAACTATTATAACCGATATGATCTTAAATGGAAAATGAGTATCATATAATTATGTTTTATTATAAAAATATAAAGATTCTTTTAAGAGTCATAAATATTTTTAAAAAATCAAGATCCATAACATTAAGATTAAAGAAACACCTCCCACATGTTTCTTGAGGGCAAACTATTCATGTCCATACACGCATCAACTGTACGCCAATCCAAACAAATAGTACATGGTAACATATTTTTTTAATATTTGGAGAGTTCTTTTTCATATGCTTTCAGAGATAATATTAAGAAATGTAAAAAGAAAACCTTTTTAATTTTTAAAAATTATTAAATGTGTGTGATTATTGAAAAGAGCTTATCTAAAAATTTTAAAAAGTTTTCCCAGATAAGACAACACTAGGGAAAAGAGTTCTAGCTCATCTCAGTCAGGTACCAGCATGGAAGACCAAAGGAATTCAATTACATTTGCCCATCAAGGTAAAGAACAAAACCATCCACACAGGTCAGTTTTAAACTTGACAACTGAATAAGGTCTCAACTCAGAAAACATGTTTACTAGTCAATACTCATACTTTGTTTTTAGATTAGCAAAAACGGTATTAGTACTGTGGGACTTAAAAAGAAAGAAGATTTTTAAATTCACAGCGGTGAGAACTTCAGCTTCCTTTCCATAAATCCTTATCTTTAACAGATCTTCACACATCATACTTGGCACAATTTCCAACCATTCAAGAAATTTTATTTTACCTTATAAACTAGTTCAGCAAAAGTAAAGTTTATGCCATAAAATGATCTACGCCGTGTCCTTACCCTCAATATTTAGCTCAAAACAAACGTGGCAGAAGGAGAGGGTTTCTTTGTCTGTTCCCAGTTTACAAACACTGCAAATGTTGTCGTCATTCAGATCAATGTTTACAAACTGCTCCTCTTCGTTCATAGTGCCCCTGTTAAGAAACAGAAAGGGAGAGTTATGCAATTTCCAGAACTTGACAGTACGGTGGTACCAGGAACTTCTAGGAGAAAGATGCTGTTTCTCTAATGCAACAGACTCATCAAACAAGCATCGCCATACTTGCGCTTCCCTATCACTCTTTCTGTGTAATGACACAAAGCTGGTAAAACTTAAAGGCTTGCCATAGGCGTCATATGCCCAAGTGCCTTTTTCTGATTCCTGTATTTCATTCGGCTGAGGAGGGGATCCGAAGGAAAGCAGTTGCGGGGGTTTTGCTCTGCCCCATCCCGGCCCAGGCACAGAGAGCTTAGCGGCGCCGCCAGGGGTCTTTCAACCTACTTAACGCTGTTAAATGCAAGAAAAACGACCTGTTCGGGACACCGCTTTGCTAACTTCATTGTGGGAACCCTTGGATGCGGTTCGCTAACTCGACGTAGCGAGGCTTCCTATCGAAGATGCGCGGCAGGAAAATACACGTGGAGGCGCGAACACCCGAGGACGTCCCGGCAGCGTCTCAAGCACCGGCACGGAAGGCCGGGCAGCGGCTCCCCCGTGCGGGTCCGGCACCGCTGGAGCCGGGGTGTCCAAGCCGGGCTAGGAGGTGCCTTGGGGTCCCCTCGCCCCGCACTTTCTCCCACCCAGGAAGAAGGCGTCCAAGGGCCAAGTCAGCCCTGGACTCAGCGCCTCGGGTAGCCAGGCCCCCACTCCACATCCGGCGTTGGGGGCGCGCGCCCGCCGCTCAGGATGCCGCGGACCGGAGTCCGCCCTCCTTCCGTCGGGGCGCCCCGCGCGAACCAGTGCGAAGGGCCGCGGGGCTCGGAGCGCGAAGGCGGCGGGACCGCGGGACCACGGGGCCGAAGCGCGGGCGGGTCGGGAACCGGGGCGCGAGGTCTTTACCGTGGGCTCCGCGCGCCGCTGGAGCAGTTCCGCGGGGCTCGGGCTCCTCCACTATTGTTTCCGGCCGCACCGCAGGCGGCCGCGGCGGAGGCTGCAGCCGCGCGCCCGGCCCCGCCCCCTCCCGCCGATGCCATCCCGCGAAGGCTTCTGGGGGGAGGCGCGGAGAGGCACCGTCAACGGTAAAGCTGCGCGCTAGCGCGGCGGCTACGGACTCTCCTTTTCTCCACCTGCACCGACGCCGCGTCCTGGACTAGGACTTTCTCGAAACTCCGCTTCTCTCGGCCGTATCTCTCATGGTTCTCCGGAACCAGGCGGCTCATACGGCCCCTCTTCGAGGCGAATAGATAGAGGAGTCCGTTGCCACCTCCTCCTTCTGCGTAGTGGAAACTACTGCCCCGGGGCGGGGGCTGAAAAGTGACGGTTGGATGGGAGAAGGGGACAGAGATGCGTGGGTAGGATTTTGGAAATAAGTAGACTGAAGCAGTAGTATCACTGAACGTCGAGTTAGGTTCCAGTTGAAATGTGTAATAAGGGAAATTTTCGTATTTCAGGTTTCATAATTTAGGGATAATTTAAATACAGAACCTTACTTTTTAGATGGGGCTCCCCTCCCCTATAATATGGTCCATTCCTTGCACGCCCACGGGGAAAATCCTAGGACACCCCGTCCCCATTACTTTTAGGTCGCGCCCAGTATTCAAACTCTGTTACTTAAATTCCTTTGCCCACTTTGCTAGAGGTTTTAAGCCTTTTTTTCCCCCTTTAGGTTATAGTTCATGCAGTACTTTCACTTACATTTTCTATGTAATCTTTACAACAGCCTAGAGAGGAGAAACAGAAACTATTCTCTTATTTTGCAGCCTAGGAGTGACTAACTCAGATTATAGTTGGTTGGAACAGACCTGGGACTTGAACTCTAGGCTGCTGATGGAAAATTACTGTTACTTTCAACAGCATCGTAAGCACCTGGACTGGCTACATTACTAAATAGGAAGCGGGCTGGGTTGTCAGTCTGCACCTGATAGTAGGAATGGATTCCATAGGTTCGAGAAACTTCTAGACCAAACTGGTGCCTGATACAAACCATCAATGCCTCAGGAAAATGATGTGTTCTTGCTGCTCAAAGTGCAGTAAATGAACCAGTGACGACATCATCACCTGGTGTTCTGTTAGAAATGTAGAACCTCAGCCCTTACCCAAGATTTCCTGAATCAGAACCTGTATTTTAGTAAGATCTTTGGTGATTTCTATGCACCCTAAAGTTTGAGAAGCATTAACTGAAATAGAATAATTTGTGCTTTTTCTATTTGAATTTCTCAGTCTAGGTAGTTATAACTAAAATGTCTTGCATCATGGATTCTACACATCTTTTCAATGAAAGTGCTTTATAAAATCACCAAGACTTTCCCTATAGCGAAACAAGTTCTTTTCAATTTTCAGAGTTATCTGTTTTTTTCTGTGACATTTTGCCCTGTTAAATCTTCCTAAAACTCCTGACCCTTGTTTTTTTTTTTTTTTTAAGTCAACAAATCCAGTCCTAATTTACAGAAATAAAATATTCACACTGTAAAGGTAGGAATTTTGACAAATGTATACACTGTGTAGCCACCACCCCAATCAATTTATTCACTATTTCCACAACCCCGGAATTCCCTTGTGCCTCTCCCCAGTCAAGCACCCCCACCTCTGATCTAATTTATATCACTAAAGGCAAGTTTTGCCTCTTCTAGAACTTCCTGCACATGGAATTAGATGGTATATATTCTTTTGTGATTGGCTACTTTGAGATTCATGATGTTTTGTAGTAGTTCCTTTTTACTATTAATATTGCACAATTTGTTACCCCCTCAGTTGTTTTTAGTGTATGAATATTCATTTAAAAATCTCTTTACGTGTTCATGTTTTCTTTCTTGTAGGTAAATACCTAGGAGTGGAATTGTGGAATCATATGGTAAGTACATATTTACTTTTAAAAGAAATTGCCAAATGCTTTCCCAAGGAGTTATGCCATTTTATGCAGTTAGTACTGTTATGTCTCTTGATGAATTAACCCTTTTCCTTTTATCTGTGGTAATAGTTCTTCTGAAATCTTCTTTCTCTGAGGTTGATATAGCCACTCCTGCTTTCTCATGATGAATGTTTCCATGTGTTTCTTTCTTCTCTTTTTATTTTTACCTCCCCTCTCTTTATAGTACTACATTTTTTTTACACAAACATAGTTGTGTCTTGCTTTTTAAATTCAGTCTGACAGTCTCTGTCTTTTAATTGGTGTGTCCAATCCATTTACATTTAATGTAATTATTGATATATTGGATTAATCTACCATCTTGCTTTTTGTTTTCTATTTGTCCTATATGTTCTTTGTTACTTTTACCTTTTTGCAGGGCTTCTTTGGATTAGTTTTTTGTTTTGTTTTGTTTTTCTGTTTAGTATTTTGTCTCTATTTTATCTCCTCTACTATCTACATTTCATTTATGTGTAGGTGGATATATGTATGTATTTGGGGGCTGGAATATAGGCATGGTTTCGTGGATTCATCTTTAACTTATCATAACCCACCTGGGATAAAATTATAACATGTGATGTAAAATGTAAGAAGCTTACAATAATATATTTCTCTACTCTGATCATATATTGCTATATATTTTATTTCAAATGTGTTATATACTCCAAATGCATTATTTCCTTAATAAGCTATATTTTAAGTAAATTGAATAAGAGAATAAAATAACTTTTATATTTATCCACGTATTTACCAATTTCTTTCTTCTTCTGGTTTATCCATATTGCAGCTCATATCATTTTCTTTTACTTGGAGAACTTCCTTTATTATTTTTTTTTGTAGTGTTGCTCTGTTGGTAACAGTTTCTTTCAGCTGTCATTTGTCTGACAATGTCTTATTTCACCTTCAGTTTTGAAGGAATCATTCTGTATATATAGAATTCTAGGAAGATGAAGATAGCTTTTTGTCTTTCAACCTTTTAATGATGTTGTTCCATGTTCCCTAAGATTGTATTGTTTCTTAGGAGAAGTCATTCTCCATATCTAGTAGTGGATCAGCTTGATCTTTTGAGACTTGTTTTTAAACTTTCCAAGGATCTAGATTATCCTTTTGTTTTAAGGATTTTCTTGTCCTTTCCTGAAGAATTTTGCTTAGGCTTTCTGTTGTATGTAGCAGGTCTTCATCGAAGTTTCTATACCCTCATTGGATAAAACTCAAATGACTCCTTCCTCTGTGAGTTCCATTTGTTCAGATTGTAGTTCCCCAGTAATTCCCCCCCACCCCGGTAGTTAATTTTTGTCCAGTCTCTCAGAGCCCCTCACCCTATGCATGCATGGCTTAGTATCCAGGTACAGACTTAAAGAGTATTCTGAAATTCTTTCTGTATAGTTCTTCCTTTTGAAAACTACTTATTGCAAATTCCAGACATCTCATTCTCCCCAAACTCAGTGTTTGTCTCCTCAGCCCAGCTTTGCATCTCCCTATGTTGACCATGGTCCAAAAGTATCTCCGGGCATAAAACTGGGGTAAACTGTAGGAGTAAACTGTAGGGCTCATCTCATTTTTTTCTTTTGTATTTGTGAACACATCTTTTGCTTTCTTGTGTTTTAGTATTTGAAAATAGAGATTTCATCTATTTTGCCCAGTTTTCTAACTTTTAACAGCTATTCTGGTGCTCCTTACTCCAACCTGGCTAGAATGCCTTATTTTGTCAGTAGATCCTTCATTCACCAGTTGAGTGCTTCTTCACAGGGTCTCTTTGCTTCTGATCCTATTCTTTCAGTTCACTCATCACAATCCATCCTGAAACAAACACAGATGAAGTCTTCTTCCCAAAAACTTGTCATGACTTTCTCACTTTTTCATAACAGTAATACATAAATCTGTTTATCATTTAGACGGCTACAGTGGGCTTCCCAGTTTACCATCTCATTTGATAAAACCTGACTTCTTGGACAGTGAAGGATTTTGTCTTCAACTGCAATCCTTTCAACTCTGGTAACTCAAGAGAGTGTGCAAAAAATGTGTTATAAGCTGTAAAATAATGTACAAAGACCAGGTGTATGATTGGTTCTTGACCTGAAACAGATATTAACTCGACTTCAGGCCTATGGCAGGTAGGAATTCTTTCCAATACAAGTAACAGAAAACCTGATTAACAGTATCTGAATCATTTGTTTCACAGAACAAAGTCAGAGGAACCAACTGCTGGCTGTTGTTCATTGGCTAATTTTTGTCAAGACTATCCTCTCTGGAACTATTCTGGGTATTCTCTGAAGAGTGGAGAATGTACCCTACAATTAGGTAACCTATTTTCTAACAGGCAAGAAGATAGTGATGGAAGTGTAGGGGAATTTGGAGGGAAAGCCGCCTCTTTCATTTTTGCAAGAAAGGAAAAGCTTTCCTGAGAAACTCTGGTGGATTTCTGATTATATCTGATCACCAGAACTTAGATGACAACTGTGGATTCCAGGAAAGTGAGTATTTAGATTTTCCAGCCTCTTTGACAGAAGCCAAGGAAGAGAGATTGATAAACCAACAATGACTGCTAGAGAGTTTACATACTTTTCTAAAAGTCATTTTTGTATGTGGAACAATGAAAATAATCCTTATCATTCAATGAATGTCTGCTATAAGGAATTCTCTCGTCTTCTCACTTTTCTGAATCCCCACAACTCTTGCTCATGCCACTACTCTTTTTGGTATTTTTTTCATGCATTGTTCCATTTTAAAGTAAAGCAGTCAATATACTTAGTGTATCTGTCCCTTCATCTCTCACCCTCTGTCTTCAGTTCTTGTCACATTATCTCTTTCTCTGCTGTTGGTGATGTGCCTCCATTTAGCCTGGAAGATGGGGTGCTGCTGCCACTGGCTTAGAGCCTTTTAATACCATGACTCTGAAGGTACTGGGAACTCAAGATGTGGCACAATTTGTTACGTTGTCTTTTCTACTTCTTCATACGCTCCCTCTACCACATGACCTTACAATTCACTACATTGGGCATAATATATTTTCCTACTGTAATGGAATGT